CTCCCTCCCTCCCTCCCTCCCTCCCTCCCTCCCTCCCTCCATTCGTCTGCCTGCCTGCCTGTCTGTTTGTCTCTCTGTCTGTCTGTCTTTCTGTCCTGTCTGTCTATCTATCTATCTATCTATCTATCTATCTATCTATCTATCTATCTAATCTATCTATCTATCCATATCATCTATATATGTTTGTATTATGTATTACAGAAAATACAACATTGATTTTTGTAGTACAGTTTATTTTTTTACACAATCCCAAGTTTCATATATTTCCTCATATGACAGATAATTATTATTTTAAATGGTAGAATTCATTTCAGTGTGTGTATGTGTTTATACAACTTTTACTTATTTTATTATTGTTTTCTGAGAATTTCATACATGAATATTATATTTATATAATTTTCACTCCAAACTTCACACTTTTAATTCTTTAAGATTACCCAAATACCATATCAACATATGAATTCTTTAATCATTAGTGTTTGTACATATATATGTATATTTTATACACACACATATATATATTTTTTCCCCTCTCTCTTGATTGTCTAGCTTTGGGGCCCTGTAAGATTCACTGTATCCTCGTTGGGATGAAAATAATATTGTTTTATATACATTTTATTTAGTCATCCATCTATTGACATGTCCTGTCATTTTCTTACTTGGTTTTTGCATATAGTTCTTCAATGAATATAAATGTGGAGACAACTCTGCTTTATGCTAACTTGGGGAATATACTTAATAAACATATACCCTGATTATACAGTGGTACTATACTGATGATAGAGGAACACCCACAATGATTTCTCTTGTTGGTATCCTAGTTTACATTTCCTCTACTGATGTGTATGTCTGTTCTCCTCCATCCTTCTTAGCATTTACTATCTTTTGTTTTCTTAATGACCTGCATTCTAACTGGAATGATGACACTGACTTCCATTATTCCACTAGATAAGGATGTTGAACATTTTTCAAGTATTTATTGAATGTTGGTACTGCTTTTCCAAGCTTAGAGCTATATTTGTTTTCTGTTTAAATAGTCAACTTTAACTGACACAGTTTAAAATCAAAACTTTAAGAAACAGTACCCTTATAAAAATTTCATTTTATCATGTAAATTTATAATATTATATTAATATTGACTAACAATATCTTCTAACTTTTCCAATAATAATAATAATAATAATAATAAAAAAATTCAACACTGAAGATAGTAAACCTACCCTGTAATATCAACACTGGAAGTATGGCACAAACAATGGCACCAGAGATACAGATCTAGCCTCTGAGTACAACAACATTCATTTCCCAAAAACTCACATCATTTCTTAGTCACTTAAGTATATCTGTTATTATAATACAAATTAAAAATAAGGTACAGTTCTAGAGGTCACATCACAGGCTTTATACCTAAAAAATATTAATATCAGCACTGCTGTAGGGGGTCCTTCTGTTTTTGTGTTGCTTTCATTGCTTAATGAAGAAAGAAACTGCCTTGGCTTAGTTGATACGGCAGAACTTAGGTAGGCACAGAAGACAGAACTGAATTTTGGGAAGAAGAAAGCAGAGTCAGAGAGATGCCATGGATCCACCAGAGACAGAAGCTGCGAATATTACCCAGTAAGCCACTTCCAGGTGGCGATACACAGATTAATAGAAATAGGTTAAATTAAGATATAAGAATTAGGCAATAAGACGCTAGAACTAATGAGCTAAATAGTGATTTAATTAATACAGTTTCAGTGTGGTTATTTTAGGATTAAGCTAGCCAGGATGAACAAGCAGCCCCCCCTGCAACACAGAACAGGCAAAACGTCATTGAAAACCAAGCTAAGAGTTCTATGTGTTTCATATCACAGTGGTGATTACTTCAGGACTCTTCTTTGAAACCAATCAATATTACTGATTTACTGATCAGTAATACTGGTGTTTATAACATTAAAGAACTTGTGATGTCCCTTCTTGTATTTGTGCAGTGTACAGCATTGAACACCTTTACCTACCTGTAGAGGACTCTTCCTCCAATGGTGACAAGGTTGGAGAAGACACTGAAATCTGTCATATTTGGAGGCCATGATTGTATGTTCAGGAAACCTATTGGGATTTAGGAAAGCAAAATCATTTGTGGAATTTTTTTTCAACAACAGTGGTAATTATCATCCAAACACAATGAAAATACATTGAAAGGCAGAAAGTAAGCAAAGGCAATGAAAACTTTTTTTTTTAAGTAGTCATCACATTTTTCATTTTATGATTAAGTGTAATCCTATGAGTTTCTGGGGTAAAGAATAGATAAATAGTTGATATCAAAGTATGGAATCAAGAATTCCAAGGATTCTTTATGATTCAGGGAATCATGAAGTTGTATGTATCAAATATTGAAAAAATATAATTTATTTTATTTTGATACATATACATAGAATTTTTATCTAATTAGGAAAAAAATACAGCTCTATTTCTGTGAATCCCTTCACCATTTATTTATGTACTATCCTATCTGTATTGCCCTAGAAATCTAAGTTGTGTTTAGCCCTAACCTTTCATAAAAGGTTTTATTTCATGTGCTGTCAAGTCCAAGTTTGATTTATATTCATGAGCCCATAAGTTATTATAAAAGATTTAAAATAGTAAATGCTCAAAAACTGTCGTGCCAAACAAGCGGTATACATTTTCCATATTACCGGGAATCCTTATGAGAAAATAAATTGCAAAGCAAATGTCCAAGAGTCACAGAGCTTTTGGTATTTGCAAAAGCAATATTAACAATATTACAAAGTTTTTGTATGTAACTCTATTGGTTTTAAAATATAAAAGCTAATAAATGTTCAAAATCATGCGAGTTACTTTTTCAAGAGAACTAGAACTTCTCTTGAAAATTAAAGCTATTATAAATATTATGTAATTATTTCAAGAAATGAAAAGTTCACATAGCTTGTGGCAAAAAAAAAAAAAACAAAAATTAAAAGTACCTGTTATTTCCCTGACTGTCCGAAAGACATTCAGTTTCTCTGGATCTATGGCTTCAATTGCATTGTAAGGGTCCCTAGAAAGTCAAGAAGAGATGCAAGCAAATTTAAACTGATTGTTTTATAACAGCACACATTTGCTCCCATCTAAATAATATATATTATTTAAAATTTTAACAGTTTCTTAATATAAAACATATACATTTTGAATATTTCTAAAGTACCCTTATCTTATGAAAAATGCTTAGAAATTTATGTCTGATATGTTCTAAAGTTGTCATTTAAAAACAACTAATAGATTATTTTCAATTCTCATCTTCCAAAAGTATTTAGGTAAATATTGGTCATTTAAAATAATTGTATATTTGACTATTGAGCCCAACATGATACCAAATTATCTCAGAACTGAAGTAATACTTTCAGTAATGTAAGCAACATACAGCATTTGTTTAATGCTTTATTACTTTAAAGGCTTTCCAGGATGTGTGAAGACTTCTTATCTTCACAGAATTACTCAATGTTATGCATTGATCAGCTTTCTGTGAGATCCTGAACTTTCTCAGAAGAATGAACCTCAGCTTTTGTAGAATTATATAGCAATTAAATGAGTTTTATTCTTCCTGTGAACACTTATCATTTGTTACCATTTGTGAGAACTTTCTATTTTGTGTGTGGAAAAGCACAGACTACAGTAACTAAGCAGTCTTAATAGGGTTATACACCGAGATACGTTATACTACCCCAACAAATAGGTAGGTATATGGCATAGCTTCTGGAATGGTAGTCTTCATCCATGGAAGATGGATTTAAAAGATCATTTTCAGCAACTATGAGTTCCAGTTTGAACTCTCAAACCACCTGACACTGGCTTTCTAAACTTGGCTCTTCAGCATTTTGCCCCAAACTGTGGATCATATCATCTCTTTTAAAAAGGCTTTGCTTGATTAAATTACTTTTTATACTAAGAAACGCAATCAATGAAATATACTACTAGTTTAGGGTGCATTGTTGTATAAAGCTCTGGTGCTGGGTATTGCTGAGACAATGAAAGCACAGCACATTTTTCTATAACTCAAAAAAGAACCCTATTGATCCAGAATATTCTCAAAGACACATCTCTTGAAATTGTGGTCTAAATGTAAAGTTCTCTAAATAGTGTACTCTTGCTCTTTCACGCACCCTTCCATACATATATGCATAAATGCATGCATATCTATATATGCACATATATATGTATGTAAATGTGTGCTACAAATGACCTTTTTGATGTTAATATAGACAAAATAGATACAAAATGAAATGTAACAAATGACAAACTTTTGCTCTTATCTTTTGAAATTAATTTTTTCTTTTAAAATTGCATACAGACATATAAAGTATCTTGAAAACATCCAATCACACTATCTCCTTTAAATTTCCTCCCCCAACCCATTCAATGTATATCCCTACCTACTTCATGCCCTCTTTTTTGATACAAAGTATTTGAATACCCTGAGTTCATAGAGATGCCCATATGGCCTTGGTTGTGGGATCATCCACTGTAATATGGGGCAAAATAGCAGTGACCATCCCGCCAAAGTAAAGAAGCTCTTCCTGCTGCAGCAGCCATCAACTGCTCTCATCTCCTCAGCTAAGCAACATGCTTGACCTCCATGCTGGGCTTTTATTTAAAATTGACTTGATAGTGTGCAGGTGACCTCAGGTGCTGTTAATTTGTTCATGTGTGCCACAGTCATGTTATGTCCAGAAAACATTTCACAGCAGCCCTATTTAACATTCAGTTCTTAAAGTCTATATCCATCTCTTAATGTACAAAAGTCTTCTATCAGAGGAAATATAAGCTCTGAAATTGCGGAATGGAATTTTACCATTGCCCTGCCATGAAAAAAAAATACAACAATTCTGGCCATAAAATCTAATATCCTGGCATCACAAGAAAAGATTAAATATTCAGGGCAAGCAAAGAATAATGGAGTCAGCCAAAGACATGACTGAAAATTTCCTGGTTTCCAGGATGAAATTAATTGTTAACCAGAAGCCCAATGGACCATAGATCTTTTATATACTTAATTTTAGAGATTCAAGACTCCTATAAAATAAGTTGACAGAATCCCACTTTTCAACTTCAAAGTACCTGTGGGGAGTCTCATCCTAAAGCCACTGAAGATCCACACTGTCTTAGAACTGCTTTTCTCTATTAAATACAGAGCCAAGTAAAAGAACATTATGACTACCCTGTCACTGTGTTTTGTGTTCAGCATAGAAAGAAAAAGAAATCTAGGTGTGACTTTTCCTATCTGCCATGCCTGCGACCTGTCTTGAAAACCTCTGCCTCTCAGTCCCTCTCTGTGACACATTTCCAGCATACTTAAAAGCATCTTGCTACTGTAAGAGCATGCCCATGATCAATGCCAACACAAAGGATGAGAGGAACATTCCTTTGATAGCCCTAGACCCTTTACAGGCCGGGACTTCTCATTATAATTAAGGAAATGAGCTGAATTTCCATTACTGGCAAAGACAATTTTATGGCACAGTATGAATATGCCAATTAACTTTCTTTAGCTCTTTTAAATCCAAAAATACAATTGACAAATTGCCAAGACTGTATTTTCTGAAAGAAATGTTTCTGAACAAAATACCAGTTAATTAATGACTTTTGACCTCATCATTAAAGAACTGTGTCAATGAATAATAGTATCCTATTAAAAGTCACTACAAATATGTTGAGAGCAATGGCAATGGCATTGAAAGTACAGAAAACATTTTATTTACTAGAAGTTTACTATTTATAATATCTAAAGCTGTGACTATTAAAATTTACTGTGTCCCCCGTCCTTCTCCCTCTCCCCACTATGTATGTGCACATACATACACAGAGACGGAATAAACCACCATATATATATATATATATATAT